ATATATATATATATATATATATATATATATATATATATATATATATATATATATATATATAAAATTATGATTTTTATTATTTATACAAGGACATTTTTAAAAGGTACCTTCCCTGGCTGGGATTGTTTACTATTATTATTATTATTATTTTAAATAATGATATTTTGCTAAGGTGTAAATGAAACGGCCTACACATAATTCCTTTGGTGTGTCTCTGTGGCGAGACATGACAGACACGAATGGAAAAGGGGGCGGGGAGCCAGGAAAAGGGGGCGGGGAGCCAGGCCACACAGCCTGTCAGACAGCAACAGGAAGAAGCCACAATAAAGGATGTAACAAGGCAGAGAAATGCTTGTTTTCTTAAAGAAAACGGCATGATGGAGATGCAGATGAAGCATGTGGTTACGCGACTGTCTTTTTATGTTTCTCTTTATTATAATGATTATTTTTTGAACATTCCTCTTTTTTCTCCTGAAGAATTGACTTTCTGTGTAAATATTGTACATATGCAGCTGTCGCCTCTCACATTCTGGATCCTTCTCTGTACATTAACTACCTGTATTTGACAAAAGCAAATAAAAACGTTAAAATAATGAAAAACCTGAGCGCAGTGGGGGGTAGCGGTCATGTCTAAATTTGTCTGCCTTAGCTGTGTGAGCGGTAGCCTGTTTATTTCTTCCTGTGTTTGTTGTTTCTGCATTATGTCCTCTGTGATGAGATTTATTTTGTAGCCTTGCCTGTATTTTACGTCAGCACCCCGTCCTGTGTTACTCCCTGCCTTGATTCTAAAAGATTTTAAAAGGTGTTTCGTTATGATTGCTATTAACACGCCTCGTGATTTTTAGCATTGGTTAGCGTAATACAGGCCTGTATCAGGATCGCTGATCACTGGCTGTTTGTCTTACTGACATAGTTCTATGTCATCATCGTCATCATTTTCCGGCTGCTGGACCTGGGGGGGGGGGATTGTGGTGGCGGCATGCTGGCCATGTCTCTCTCTCCATGACCCCGGACTCCAGCTTTCTCAACCGGGTCCTCAGGGACCCCCAGACAGTCCACATTGTTTGCTCCCTGCGGGGACCGGCTTGAGGAACACTGCTCCTGGGGGGTTCATAGATGTTGTCATGCCCTCTGGGAGCCATTTCCCCTCTGGCGTGTCTGAACTCCACCCCGGAGCCTCCTCTCCATGGACCGTACCTGGGTCTGCTTCCGCAAGGCATGCAGAAACCCCAAAACACCTCAGCAGACTCCTCTCTATCCCGCCGAAGCGCACACCAGTTTGCTTCACAATCCTGCCCACAGACACACACACAGCCACACTCCGCAGCAGGGACAGGATCAGTGAGGATGGAGGGGGGGCACGGCGTGAAGTACGCGGAGGACACCGATGACCGACGGCGCTCGCGGGTCACCGGGTAACGCAGGAGGAAGAGGCACCTGCTGGCTGTTGCAGGTAACGGTGGCTCTCTCTGCAGACCCTGCAGCTCTCTGTCAGCATGCTGAGCATGGAGGTTCAGCTTCTCCTTCACCCTTAGACCCTGAAGCAGCACAGCGAGGAAGGCTCACAGCACACCACGAGCACACAAAGGACCCCTCCGCTTGAATCTACATGGTATATTTAGTTAGTGGGGACAGCCTCGGCTTCACAGACCTTTCCTCCCACAGCCCACAGACTTGCTGTTCAGGTGCATTGCTGACGGGACATTTCCCGTTAAATTTCCTTTCTAATATGAATGTGTGAGTGTGTCCTAGCCCAGAGTCTGGCCTTCTCCGTCAGGGTGATGCTGAAATGGTTCGTAGCCAGGTAGTTAAGTGCAGCAGAGGTGGAGAATGGAAGGGGGGGGAGGAAACAGGTTTAGGTACTGACAAAATATTATTATTGCTGTTTCCATGCAGTTTCTTTCTTGCCCCTTCTTGATAACAAGAGTAGCAGCAGACAATGTCATAGATCTGCCACCAGGTGGCAATAAAGGGCAGCATCTTCCTGAGGTGCAGAAAAAACCTGATTTTCCTTTTGCTTGTTTTTTTTATATAACCTGATCAACTCTTTGTGACCCTAGAATTCTCGCTTCATCAGGCTCCTGTCTACAGATTTTGAGGTTGATGTTAAAGTCTTGACAATCTTGATCATATGCTGTGAGCATCATGAACCTGTGAGCGCTGTTGGGTCAGTCAGCATCCCATTCCTGTCTCCCCAGTGCGCAAACAGACAGTCCTTGAGGGCAGGTGTTAGCATAGGCATCCCTCTCTCCCAGGAGAATAACAGAGAAAGATGTTTTAGCAAAACATCCCAGGTGGAATAACTACATTGGCAGTTCCATCTAGAACATTTAAAATGAGTGTCAGGAGGAAAAGAAGGTGCAGTGTCTAGAACTGTCCAGTTGGGGGCACTGGAGCATGGACACCTATTTTCAGCCTTTCTAACAGGCCTGTTAGCAAGCTGACCGTAAAGAAGCAAACAGGGGTAGGTTATGGCATCCTTCTGAAGATTATGTGTCAATCAATGTTTTGCAATACAGCTGGTATCTATAAATGGTACTGCTTAGAAACTGGAAAAACCAGAAATTCCTTTGTAACAATGATTTGTTTCATTTAATTGGATCATTGTCCTAACTGTCCAGTTACAGTAGGTGAGATCCATTTTTCTTCTCTTGATGCATATATACCTCAATGAACTGGCTCTCTTGTGCCCTCTGGCGGCTGTAGATGGTACTACACCGAGGCTTTATAGCCTCATTTCTCCATCATCGTCCTCTTCCCTGTTAGCTCTGCTGTTCCTGCCTGCTCTCACAGGGTGATGATTCCCAGACACTTCTCTCGTCCCTATGCATGTAAGCAAAAGTAAACTGAGCAATGAGTGAGAAATAGTGTTCAGGGTTAGGGTTAAGTATTCTTGCAAGGGTTAAGGACAGAGTAACAAAGTATATGGGTAACTGCAGTTACCTTCTCCAGCTCCTGCTTCTGTGAGAGTCCATGTGGCAAAAAAGAAGGGGGGCTGCGGTGGGGGCACAGAAGCATTATGGGTGATAGAACCCAGGGCATACTGATATACATCAACGTCACGCACGCAGGCTGAGTGCCATCGCTGACAGGGATCAGCTGGCTCTGGCATTTATCTCATTAACACACGTTCACAACCATACGTCCTGGAAGAATGAGGTAGCTAATCTAGAGCAGACAGCCTCGCCTTGCGATGAGTCAGATTGGATTCTTGAACATTCCAAGAGATAACAGAGCATGATAACACTCTCATTCTCCACTCACCGTCTTCCTCTCCCTCTCCTCTGTGTTGAAGAAGAAGCACTGACCATACTACCCTAAAAAGAGGTGGAGAGCGAGTGTTTGCGTTTCCACAGCAGCTGATAGGGGTGCTGAGAATCATTAGCGATGACGTCACGGTACCTGCGCATTGAAATCCCACGGCTGTTTCTGCACACAGTCCTGTGTTTCATACACTGCATGATTCCTTCCACATTAGTCTCTGTCTGACCAATATGGCAGCACAACCCTCTAGGCAGCTGCATTCACACCCGACTTGCTGCATTTTGAACTGCACCAGCATCAAACTGTGTTTAACACGCAGTTTGTACAGGCTTCTCCATTGTAGCTGGGTGGTGGCAGCAGGTCTTCACGCTGCCTACCAGTAAGATAACGTATAATCAGAAAGCCTCCGTTACGAAGGTATGAAACTTCTGTGTCTTCGAGAATTGTACATGTCTGCAGAAAGCGTCTGATGCAGAAGGTAATAAAATGGAAAGAGGTGAGAGTTGTACATACCAGTGGCTGCTCTCCTCCTTCATGTCAGGCCAAATAAAAGATGACAGTGATTTCCTGAAGTCTCCTTTGTCCTGCACTGTCCTTGGCTGGATCTCCTGCCTATAATCTCTGTTAGGTCTCCACCGTGTTCATTTCTGTACTCTTATGCTTTGGCACTCTATCTGTGATGCTCAGTTCGGCCTCACTGACCAGTTCTGCTTAACCTTTTGTCTTTTTCATTTCAGATTGTTTTGTCACTCTACTCTTTCTCCCTGGACTTTCACGATCATAGTTATATGTTTACTTTTCTATTATTATTTAAATCATATGTAGCAAATCCTTTTATCCAAAGTGATGTGCGTTTGACAAAGATGGGTGAACAAATGGGCATTAAGGGCTTTGCTCAAGGGCCCAGCAGTGACATGACTCTGCCGACAACAGGATTTTAACCGGCAGCATTCCAAGTACAAGCACCGCTTGCTAGTTTGCTGGGTCACACAGCTCCCCCATAAGCTTGCTGTCATACTGTCACTGAAAAAACTTTTGACTCTATCAGAAGTGACTGAAATGAATTACAGTGGCAAGCAAACCTTATGAGTGGATTCAATTAGCAATAAAATATTTTCGTTATTAACAGAAGTATTTATTTTCCTGTATGCAGGTTTTCGCTGCAACTCCCCAATTAGATTACTAATTAGAAGACTGATTGGCTAAAAGAGTCCTCACACCTGGGTTTGAACAGCTGACCTACAGGTTATCCCAAAAACCTGCATACACACCGGCCCTTTGCAGATAAGATTGGGTACCCCTACTTTAAATGAACATAAATGTTTGATAATTGTTCTTGCCTCCTGCTTTAATGTGAGTATGTATGTTAGCCTGGATGGTGGGCACAGGGCAGATCACCGATGGGCTGCATGCTCTTGACATTGGCTTTTTCTGGCAGATGGGCGACCGCAGCAGACAGGTTGATACTCACGGGGTAATTAGAGAGCTCTCCCAGCTGAGAGGCATGCAGGGGTATAGGCGGCCTTTAATGAGGGCCATTAAACAGTGGCAGACAGGAATACAGGCACAACCAGGACGCCTGTGTAAAATGGTCAGGAACATGGGTCCTGAGTGGGGGAGCGAGCATGAGGTTGGGGATGAGAACAGGGCAATTATATTGGCTCTTTGTGGATAATTAACAGAAGAGGGGGGAGTATGTGTAACAGTGAATGCCCCCCCCCCCCACACTCCAAAAAACACGAAGCATGACATGTGCAATAAGAGCAGGGGTGGGGGCAGGTAGGAGATATATATACATGTTGGGGACCGTCTGGGGGAGCTGGACGTGAGCAGTCACAGCACTCCTCTTCATTGCTTTCAGGCTCATCCTCAAACTCCTGTGGTCAAATAGAGGCACAGATCTCACTCTCCTTGTGCTGCCCATCCAATGTGCAGCGTTAGAATGCAGCAGGACCATCTCTGCATGCTGTGTCTGCTGTCTCTCTGCATCAGCTGGTGGAAGCACTGCTCTTTATCTGTGGAGATAGGGGCCTCTTCTACCAACCTGGGCAGCGGGTGAGGAAGGGCTAGCGTAAGTGTTTGTTTCTGGAGGCCAAGGGCTGCTTATAAGCTTCTCAACAAAGTGATTTGGGGACCGTCTGCAGGAAGACCTACTGGAGATACAAGAAGGAGACAGGGAGAAGAAGAGCACTGCTAGAATCACAAAGAGAGGGATCGTGGAACAGTGCTGTAATTTCTGCTGCAATTACTATGACCTGGAGAACTACTGCAACACATAGAGAGGGAAAATGAAGTGGGCAAGCAATAAAGAGAGAATTAGACTGATCATTATGTGGTGATAAACAAAGGAATGTTCCAGAATGAGTGGCACAGTGGAGGAGTAGCTAAAGGCAGTAAGAGACTGCATTTACTTTTCATGTTCATGTTAGTTTTTGCAAAAACTAAAAACAAATAAATCCATCAAAGCCAGATTGGAAATGTGTCACAAAGTAGTGTATAAAAAAACTGACAGACATATGCACACATATAACCGGAATTACTGCCTTGCAGTTTAATAAAGTACTACATACTTAATTATTGTATTGTTATTTTTATCAGTTCAATAAATAAACAAACTCATAGGTGAAAGGCCTTTTGTTATCTGTATTTCCTCTTTTAACACTCCAAGGATCATTAATCCATTAATAATTAATCTATACATGAAAAGTAGCATCTACTGCTTGCTCTAGGCCAGGGGTGCCCAACTCCAGTCCTGGGGGGCCAGAGTCCTGCACATTTTTGGGTTTCCCCTCATTTAACACACCTGATTCAACTCCTTGCGCTAATTACCACACAGCTCTTGAGCTGAATCATTTATGGTGGAACAGGGAAAGAACTAAGCTACACAGGGCTCCGGCCCTCCAGGACTGGAGTTGGGCACCCCTGCTCTAGGTAAAACGAAAAATCCAGTTTCCCAATATACAATCAGGGTAGGTAGCATCAAAGAGTTAAAAGAATTACTGAGCCCCGGTATCTGAGATGGAAGCTGTTTAAGATGTACCCCAGCCTGTGCCTTATGCGATCTAGGCAGGGTTCCAAGTACCCCTTTGATGCTTATCGGGATAAGCGGTTAAACGATGACTGGATGGATTTACTCCACTCTTGAATGGTCATTCGATGTGACTGTGACCTGGACATTTTCTTTGCACAAGCTAAAGTCATCATGAATAAGTCAACTCCTCTAACCCCGCTTGCAGCCTGGCACCCTGTGGAACCGAACCGATTTGTACATTACATGCCTCCCACCTCAAGCTCAAACACTACCACTATGACTGCTTACTTTCTCCTTCCTGTTGCACTCTTTATTTGCATGTTTCCACACCTTCACTTTCTGTAGTTGACTGCCCGGATGTGTACTAGTATAGTTCCTGCACAGTAACAGCGAGTATTAAGTTTATAATTCATTCTTTTTATTATTTTGTCTGTTTGTCAATTTATTAATTTATCTGTTTGTTTGCATTAATCGTTAACGTTTTGATGTTGTGTTTGTGTTTCAAAAAGAAATATTCCTTTTAAATTACTATCAACGTGCATGTCCATTAAGAATAATTCTGATTCTAACACCCTGTTTTGACATTCTAGTTTCGGTTTTATGTTCTTATTAGGCAACTGATTTTTTAAAAGAATTAACTTGCAGTTGTCAGTACTAAAAACTAATATAAATATAATGCAATTAACTACTAAAAATGTACTAAATTAAAATAAACATCTCTGTGTGTATTTCTTATACAGTATTAAAATAAAATACAATATTAAAATAAAATATGCGAATGACCATTCAAGAGTGGAGTAAATCCATCCATTCATCGTTTAACCGCTTATCCCGATAAGCATCAAAGGGGTACTTGGAACCCTGCCCAGATCGCATAAGACACAGGCTCGGGTACATCTTAAACAGGGGGTTAGGGTGGTGGATTGAAACTTTAGAAGACTACAAAACCTAGAATTCATAGTAAGCGAATTGGAAGTACCGCAGTGGACGACGGGAAATGTGGTGCAAATTCGGTGCTGGACGGTTCCTTCAGTTTATGTAAAGCCAACGGAAACAACATTTCCCACTGAGTCCGCTCGGCTGATTGGAACTCAATGAAGAAAGCGTAATGGCGACAGCGGCCGGGAAGGCCTTTTATTGTGTTATTAGGGAAAAAATCATGTTTTGAGCTTCAGACTTGCGTTTTAAATTAGTGTATTGTTATTTTAAAAGTACAGTTCGGGAAAAAAATATACTGCTTTCATACACCGCCGCAAATTGCGTAGCACGCCGCTGTGAGTATGTTTATGGATAGCCGTGTGGCTAAGTTAGCTGGCAGGAATTGGCAACGTTAGCCGTGGCTAAAATGCACTTAGCCTACTAACAGTTATGTCCTGTAACTATAGCCATCTGGATTGTGCAAAACGCCTATGCAAATAAAGAACCTCACATTGTACTTTGTAAATGCATGCACTAGAGGAAAAAATCCTATTTTTCTGAAAGATGTAGCCGCTGCATAGCCATTTGGTAATGCAGGGGTGTTTGCGCAGGCTAGCAGCAGGGATGCTGAATGAGGAACGTGTTTGTGGCCAGTAGCATCTTCCAGAGTTGCATGCCTGATTACTCTTATTCATGCCCAGATGGAAGAAGAGGAGGAATTTGACGAAGTTGACGGGGTCCGCCCCAACGTGGAGGTGCGTTTTTTCCCCCTCGATTTCGGTCAGATAAATGATCGTACTCTGTTTCATAGTGGTTCTGGTGAAGAAGCAGTTGCATGGCTTGGAAATATTCCTGCGTTGTCCGTGGAAACCGAGTAGCTAGTGCAGAATGAGTGCTCATGGACCATCCTGCCTAACGGTCAAACATCTGGTTGTGCTCCAGCAAGAGCAGTGCCATGGAGAAAGAGAAGGCAGGGCAGAGGAAAAACGGACAAGGCTGCGATGCTGTCAGCATGAGAGGGAAGCTTCTGGTGTCCAGCCTGGTGACATGGTACGGTCTGTCCCAGTTTGCTTATGCTGCTTCTGTGAATGTCGATTTACCATAAGTGATCCTGTTGGATGAACACTATTCAGAATCACCATCTGTCACTGTGTTTCAACTATCCTGTACAGTGCCCTCCTAAAAGAGACTACTCCGTCTTAGCTGTGGTTTTGATATTGTGGTCAGTGGATCCATTGATTTTTCTTTAATTGGTCTGTAGGAGGTAGGTTATCATTAATATATAACTGAAATACAATTTGTGGAGCTTCTGGCATGTCCCGTGCTGCTCGTATGTTATGGTTGCTCGTGTTTGAACTCCTCATTCTCCCGATGTCAGGATGCGGCAGCTCCCACGATATCTGACCGACCAGTCTCCCCCATCTCACTGCACTGCCTCCCCCATCAGTCTGACGACAGGTGAGACTAAACAATGCAACAAGCATCTCTACCTCTCCATTTGTCGTAGTATTGCCTGGGATCTGAGGGTATCGGTTGTAAAGGTTTCCTGTGAGTAGGGCTGCAACACCTAATCAACAATGTCAGTAATATTCTGTAGTAAAAATAGTAGGCAATGAATTTTGTTATATATTGCTTGCATTTTTTGCGGTTTGTGGCATAAAATGAATATAGTGACATCATTACCTAGTAACATTTACATTGGTGTGTTAAGCTTAGTTCATTCTTCAATCTTCCATGTGCTGTTAATGTCCTTGCAAGTTTGTGTGCACAGACTTGTGTGCATACTACATATGTCCACAGATGCAGACGCATACAGCAATGATATTCCACCAGACCAGCAGAGGGCAGATGTATTGCAACAAACACAAATACAAGCAGTGTAGTGAAATGGGTAAACTTTTATGAAGTTTTGAAGTTGATACTAGACTTGCGTGATATTATAGTAATGCGGGCTACCAAGGTATTTTGAAATTATGCTGACAAAATTAGCTGGGACCCCCACCTTCATTCGGCAAGATTTCACAATGCTGGAATGGCATTGCTTTTGAAAGTACTGCATTATAAAGTACAATCGTTAGCAAGCTAAATATGGATATCTTTGTTTCTATGCCTCCTGAGAACAGTACTTTAGCAGCTTATAGCCCTCAGAATCCCACAGCTTTGTAATTAACTGTACAATATGTATTGAAATTCAAACACGTTGTTCAGTTGGTCTTGTTAGTTTGCTTTTTTATTTTATTCCTGAATCTACCTATTTGTCTGCTCTCATATTAAATCTGTGTTACATGCTGGTATCTGGATACCATACTATGTGATTAGTTAATGCTACCATAGGTAATTGTTTGAAAGTGATCTGACCCCTTTAATATCATGCTGCATTATAATTTACAGTCAAATATCTAAATTTTGTTTAGTTCCTGTTCTTCTTTGACCTGACAGTAAAAACAGTAGTTGTAAAGTCTGACATACTATGTATAGTTTGGCAATTTATGATGTTATGGAATTCCCTAGTAAAGGAGTGACTGCTTGTGTTCTTTTCCTCCCCTGGTATAGTATGATTTTAGACATTGAGGTCACAGCTGAAGTCAGAATTGAAGGCAGCTCCAGTTTGGCTCTCCTGCCCTTGGCTGCCCCTCGTTTACTGCGGAGTGGAAAGCCAGGTAAGGTAGTGTTCACTGGCCTCTTGCCATATTGTAGATATGGGACCGCTTGCCAAATTAGGCATTCATCTCACGATTACGCTCTTTTTTCTTTTTCCTTTCAGCGTTTTTTTGTGATCAGTCTCCCTTCATCTTGAGTCATCCTTCATCCATCTGGACCAAAGGTCTGGACAGAGGTCTGATGAATCTGTCCTCCTGGCCTTGGCAGTTTAACACAGGCTCAGCTGCTACCATGGCCACTGTACCTGGCACAGTTATGACTGCGAAGAGCCCCTTCCCTTCACCCCCCTGCACTTCACCATCGTCTCCCTCCTCTGCTCCATCATCACCTTCGTCTTCACCTTCATCCTCGACCTCTTCTCCTGGAAGCACAGTTGTTGGTTACCATGATAATGATAGGAGTCGCACAGAGGGTGGCGCAGTTTCCAGTGCGACGGGGGAAGCCGTCTCCTCTACCTCGGTCTCGCTGGCACCCCCTGCGCACCCGCTGCCCCCTTCTTCCGGTACCTCTGTCCATCTCTCTTCCTCACCCTGCCCAGTACCAGGAAGAGCAAGCATCGAAATCTATGACCCATTTCATCCGACAGAGGGGGAGGCAGACAGAGAAGGCAGGGCATCAGTGGAAGATGACGAGGAAGAGGATGAGGAAGACATGGACAAGTATGACCCATTTGATCCCACGGGTTCCCCAGCCTCAGAGAGAGGGAGGGAACGTGGAATAGAAGCTGAGGATGAAAATGGCGTGGCCAGGAAGGCCATGCTTTTGATAGAGACACGTGTGGAGGGGCCAGGGAGGGAGAAAATGAGGGATAGGGCTCCTTCAGTTTCTACTGACCCCACTGTCTGTAGGCCACGGGAGGAGAGGGAACAGGCCAGAGGCAGAGAAAATAAGAGAGAGAGGGGCAAAGGAGGAAGGGAAAGGAAAGAGGTTGATAGTGATAATTCAGAAATCGAGGAAGGAGAGATTGTAGGTGCAGGTGACCGGGAGAGAGACAGGAAGAGGGACAAAACAGGAGAGAGGGTACGTGCTCCCGATAGTCCCTTCCTCCACTCCTGTCGCCAGCCAGAACGGATCCTCCGTGTTTTGGATGGTGACGACTTTGTGTCTGTGAGAGCAGAAGGTAACTGGGCTTTGGGGAGAGAACGGGATGGAGTGGGAGATCTGAGGAGGAAGCTGGTCAGCAGACGGAAGGAGAGGTTTCGATCTGGCCCTTCCTCTTCCCTCTCTCCCCCACTGCCTCTTCCACTCCCTGTTTCGTCTGTTCCAGCCCCCAAAGAGAAAGAGAGAAGCAGGAAGTCCACCAGGGGGTCCAAGGATCGAGAAAGGCATAAACGGAAGCAGGACAGGGGTGGTGAGAAACCAGACAGGAAGAGGGGAAAAGATGATGGAAGTAAAGAAAAGAAGGAGAGGGACACAGAGAGGGATGGCAGGAGGGGGCAGGAGGAGAAGAGAAGGGAAGAAGACAGAGGAAGGAGCAGCAGGAGCAGTAGCAGTAAAAGGAAGAAAAGATTGACTAGCCCAAAGCGCTCCTCATACTCACAGAGCTCCTCTCACCGGCAGAAGCACAGGCGACACTCCTCATCCAGCCATTCAGAGGACCGGCGTCGGGACAGGGACCGAGAAAGGAGAGAGGAAAGAGAGTGGGACAAGGAGCAAGACTCCACCAAGAAGTCAAAGCGTAAGAGGGAGAGGGGAGAGCAAGCGGAGGAGTCTGGCAGCAGGGAAAGAAGAGGGGGAAGCCGGAAAAATACAAAGTCGAGTAGGGAGCAGAGGGAGCGAGGCAGAGAGAGGGATCGTAACAGGGATCCTGAAAGGGAGAGGTGGCGAAGGGATGGCCGGCCTGTAGTGCCTCCGTCCATCCAAGACCTCAACGGTTCAGACTTGTTTGCTATCAAGCGCACCATTACTGTCACAACTACCACAACTACCACCACAGTCCCAGGATCACCTCCACTGCCCCAGGCTACCCCAGATACCCCACCTCAGGCCTCCGACAAGCCACGCAAGAAGAAAAGGAAGAGGAAAAGACGGGAAGAGAAGGAAGATGAGGAAGAGGAGATGCCAATGAGTCAATCACGTGACTCTTCTCTCACACCTTTGAGGTACCATGATTTTGACTCGGACCAGTTCTCTGACAAATTAGGTGTGGAAGTGTTGTCTTTGGATGGGGAGGCCCTTGACTCAGACTATCCGTCGCTGGAAGACACTCCTCCACACCTGCCACCACCATCCCCCCATCCAAGCCCTAAACCCAAGGTTAAGTCCAAAACTGGTAGACATGTCAAGAAGAAATCCCGAACAGGCAAAAAAACTAACCTTGCAGAGACTTCTCATAGACCAAAATCTGGAAAAGGTCTATCATCTCTCTCCCCTCCATCAGTTCCCTCAGTTAATGTACCTACCAAGCATATCCAGAAGGCAGGGAAAGAGAAGGGGGTGAAGAAGGAAGGAGGTCGTTCAGGCAAGTCCAAAAAGTTGAGCAGAGGAACTCGTAAGGGAAAGCTCCAGTCCAAGGTGTCTGTCCTGGTGCGGGATGGGGTGAGCAGCACCACAGGTGGGAGTGGCGTAGGGAAACGGGGGGTAGTTGTTGGGAGTAGTAAAGATCTGTCAGCTTCAAGTGGAAGCAGCAGTGCGGGAGTTGTTGGGGGCTCCATTGCTGTGGTCTTCCGCCGGGACAATGAGAGCCGGTCACCTTTCCTCAAACCCTGTTCTGAGCCTGTCTCTGTCTCAAAAGGACGGAAATGTGGGACCCTTTCAGCCTTGGTTCCTCCCTCTTCTTCGTCATCCTCTTCTTCCTCGTCCTCCCATCTCTCTGTCATCAAATCTAAGAAGGCCGAGCCCAGCTCCACCACCTCTGCCTCCTCATCCTCAGCCTCCTCACCTTCTTCTTCCTCAACAACGAAGCAGAAGCGGAAACAGGGAAAGAGAGAGCGAGATCACAGGGAGAAGGGAGGAACTACAGCTGAGGCGGGTGGAGCAGATGAACGTTGTGGGATAGGAGGCGATACTTGGGGTGTGCCACTATTGGACACACAATCAGGCCTCACCCCTGGTGGGAAGCCCTCCAGTCCTCCATCCAGGCCTCAGGCTGTACCCTCATGCTCATCGTCATCCTCTGCCTCAGCCAGCATTCTCCCACCATCATCTTCACCCCCCTGCAGCCCTCCGGTTACCCTCCCTGTTTCTCGTGACACTAGGGAATCCACTCCAGACTCTCAGACTGTGGACAGCAGCTGCAAGACCCCAGAACCCCCATTTGTGTCTGATGATATAACAACACAGATCCAAGCATCCCCACTCATACCTCTATCTAATGCTCCCCCAAGCCCACCATCTCTTCAGACACCCCTGAGTGGCACCCCAGGAGTTGTGCAGTCTTGCACAGACCTCAAGTTGCCACCGGAAGAGCAGAAAGCACCTACATCCCCTCCCTGTTCCTCCTCCTCTTCTGCGAACTCGACTGCTGCTTCACTCAATCTCTCACTCCCAGCCTCATCTGCTGACCACTCCTCATCGGCCTCCTCTTCAGTTTCGTCTTCATCGACTACCAAGCCACCACCTCCCCCGCCACCTGGAGCCCCACCTCTTCCATGGAGCCTACAGACAGGAGTGGATTGCACTGCTGGGGGGGTCTTAGCTTGTGAGTTACATTTTTTGGTAGATTTATCATCTTTTTTTTTATATCATCCATAAAAATGTCGACATACTTCTGCTTTATCTTTCAGTGACGGCTCTCTTGTTTAAAATGGAAGAGGCCAATCTGGCCAGCCGTGCAAAAGCACAAGAGTTCATTCAAGCTACCAGCCAGGTGAGGCTGTGTGCCATCTTCTTTTTGAATGATTAACATCTTTCTATTCAGAGACATAATGGAATGAGGAATTTTCATTCTGTCCTAACCTCTGTTCATAGATTCTCTCACAGGCTAACCAGAGCCAGACTCTACCCCCTTCTTCGTCGTCCTCTTCCTCCACCTCATCGCAAGTTGCCCCTTTGCCATCTCTCGCCCCGCCTTCTGTCCCGACTCCTGCCCAGTTCATCCTCCACAGCTCTCTCCCATTGGTTGGCTGTACCAAGACCCCGCCACCTCACCTGCATCCCGGCTTGTCGTTGGGTGCGGGATGTGCGCAGACTCCCCCTTTACACAGCGGGTCATTAGGCACAACGGGGGTATCAAGTGACACTAGCTGGGACGGGGAAAGCAAAGACCCAGATAAGGTGAGGCTGTCTTCTGTCTATCACAGGTCTGTTTATTCTGTGATGAGTTTAGTGGCTCCAGCTGAAGGGTATAGTAGAAAGCCGTCATGCTGACGAAGCGTATAAACAGTTATGCTGCATTCCATTTACCTCAGAGGTCGGAAATTGGAGCTTGGAATGATGTCACACCTGAATTAATCACTTTCCAGTACAGCAAGCTATTTAGCAATACCACGGACCAGTTTCAAAAAGCAAAATTTCGCCGGAAAAATTTTGTGCATAAAAACACTGTAGCAACATGCCCACAGATAGCTGTTGGTCAGTACAGTGTGTACAACTGATTTAATTAGCCACAAATAATACTCAAGGGCTATTAAACAGTATAAAACTACAGCTTTAACTTCTGTTGATAAAGGGCTCAGCCATTTTGAATTCTGAAGTCGGGGTTGTGTAGATTCCTCCATAGGAATTTCGATTTCAGGGGGCATTCCAGTCGAAATTTCTGAGCAGGATCTCAGAATATCCGAGTTACAAGTTCAAATCGAATGCAGCATTACTCACAGCACATCAGAGTGAAGTGAGCGTTGGACAAGTCAAAAGGTTAGTCCCAGCCTGTTTGAGCATGGCGCGCTTCTCCATTGTATAAACCGTTTGCTCCTCCCTGTCAGTATCTGAAGAAGCTTCACACCCAAGAGAGGGCTGTGGAGGAGGTGAAACTGGCCATCAAGCCCTACTACCAGCGCAAGGACATCAACAAGGATGAATATAAAGACATTCTGAGGAAGGCTGTGCACAAGGTAGGAGTCCCACTTGCCATTATTTGCTCATCCCCACAGTGTGCCACCCGCCAGCATGTGTTTTATACTTACCATTCCATGTTCACTCCCCCCCCAGATATGCCATAGTCGTACTGGTGAGATCAACCCAGTCAAGGTTAGCAACCTGGTCAAGCTCTACGTCCAGAGATACAAGTACTTCCGGAAGCACGGGCGGAAAGTAGGCGAGGATGATCGGGATGGAGACAGAGATCCAGCTGCTCTGCATTCATCATCCTGATTGTTTCCAATGCATCAATTAGCCCAGCTGCTGAACATGCATTTGTTGCTCCTATGCTATTGGCCAGAGACTTTAGTGGCAGACACTGAGCTATGCCTGCTCTTCCCCAGCGTCCTTGCCTTGTCAATGCCATCGAAACACATGCATTGCTGTGCTCCTTTCTTTCGCTTTGTCTTGCTGTACAGATGTATCAACAGAAATACAAAGTATGTACTGGAAGACGCAGGCTGATGCTGTCCATACTGTGCATTACGCGTACTTGCTCTCCTTCAGTTGTGTACAGGTTTTATCGTTGGTTGTTGGTTGGTATAAATATAGGGATTTCACATACATGTTATTGTCTCTTGTTTTTATTGAGATTTAAACCATCCACATCCCCAGAAACAGAGGCTTCCCAGGTGTGACCTTTTGCTATGTCTTTT